GAAGTTACCTGGGGCGGATTTCTGGGTGGTCTAGAAACCGATTCTTCACGGTAAGGGGGCCTTTCCAGGTGGCTGTCTGAAAAGCAAAGATCTTTCAATGTTTTAGACTTAGTTCTTTCACCTACCTCGAGGTATACAAATACATCAAAAACATCGTTCTGTGAACAACTGTAATTATATATATAATCATGCGAATGTCTTCATAGACAAAACCTTTAATAAGGGACCACTGTCATCACAGTCTTTCTTTAAAGTACCAATTATATAAAGATGACCCCACTCAGGTGAATTAGCACTGAGAAAGAAAAAATTAGCCCAGACTAAGAAAATTAAAATCTGCCCAGCTACATTCCAAAACATTTCACATCAAACTAGAAAAATAGATAAATCCAACTGCAAGTTTATAAGGAAATATTTCTCCCCATAACACAGTGCAGCAGTATAATGTCCTAAAAGCACTCCCTTTGAGGGACATTGTTTCTTCCCTGCCAAGAAACCTTCTTCTCTAAAAATCAGGTTTTCAGAAACTGGTGTTTCAAAGCATCTCAGTAAGAATGAAACATCTGACTCTTGCCTGAGGACCTAAGTTACTTTGACATCGACAAGAAGCCTTAATTTCCAACTCAGTGCAGAGCTTCAGAGAAGGGTTTCTGAGCACAACGGTCACATTTATCTTTGTTGTTTCCAAGATAAGAGAACACTGGTTCCCTTAGGCAGCCCACACCAGATAGTGACCACTTCACATTCAGCCCTGTTGTGCTTTGAGCCTTTCAAACACTCTGCTTTCATTTACATTTCATACAAACTCCACTCTTCCCCCAAACCCTCTACTATCTTTTCCTTTGTTTGGTGATACACCCCATGGATCCTCTTGTGTGTTGCAAGGAGTCATAAACCTGACTTTGTTGGACTGCTAGGTTAGCCCTCCTGGATAAGCCATTAGCTTAGATAGCATTAAAATTCAAATTATGGCTTACTTTACTGTTCCAGTATTTCTTATTCCAACCCTTCTGCAGACAAAGTAAGTTATGAACCTGTTTGGGGTTTAGAAAACTAAATGTTAACCTCATCCTCTCATGTCATACCTAGATGTCTATGGTTAACATTCCAACCAGGTTTATGTTCAACATTCTTAGATTTCTTCCTTGGTTTTGGTGCAACAAATCCATTTTTCAATTCCTAGGAATGAAAACATTGCATGTTAGTGTCTTAATTAGGCCCACTTTAGAATGTGAACATTAAGTCACATGGTAGAGGCAGTGTCATAGCGTATACTTCTTACTTGAAAGGATTTACAAAGTGACTTCTGCCTCACCTTACTCTGGAAATACACAGCTTTGTATCTGAGCTGCTTGGCTGACAGCATAAGCCCCACCAGATCAAGTGGTCAAGATGAGAGGCAGGTAGCAGCACTCGTAGGCAGGATGTTGCCATCATGGGAGTCTGATAATGACCAGGGAACTACCAAATCCAGGGAGCAAAGACAGGGTGGGGTCAGACCAAGATAGGACTTACGTACAGTACCTGCCCACATACAGTCCTTAACACTCCTCTCTGGGCTTTCTTCTCCATGGACTCAGTCTCTTATGCTTGACCAAGCCTGTGCACCTGCTGACACATGTAGGCTCAGCCTCTGCTGGCTGGCCCTGCCTTGTGTAGATCCCTTCCCTGATCATACTTGAGCCCCATGTTCTACCTACACCCACTGCTTTGGTTCCACAGCCTCCCCTCTGGCCTCTTGGACCACTGTTGGGCTGAAGGGACTCCCCAGAAAACTTTATGTCACCCCCAACACGACCTTTGTGACAGACTCTTTAGTTGATTGCCTTCCCATGGGTTAGCCCATCTTCTGATCCTTGGATCTGTCTCACTGAGGTCCACAACACAGGGTCTGAAGTTTCAAAAGTCATTTTTAGATAGGTCTCGTTCACTCCCCAAAGTGGGGCTTTGCAGCTGCTTGGGAATGAAGATTTCAACGTAACAGGAGGCTATACCCACTGAGGGCTTCTCTACTAGTCTGGTGCATCTATTCAACAAATATACACTCACCGCCCACTCCTACCTGGCCCTGTGCAAGGAATTGAGTACGGCAGACGTACTCTCTGCCACCTTGAAGCTTACAGTGCAAGGAGATGATAGACAAGGAGCAAAGTAATCACATATTCACAGCATTTTATAAAAGGAGAAGGCCTGGGTGCTAGGGGAGCAGTGACAGAATACAGAAAACACAGTTTAGTTTGGCTGGAGTATATACAGGAGAGTCACAAAGCAAGAAAGGATGACTTAGGACAGAAAGTGATCCTTTGGGATGCCAGCCTAAAGGTTTGTTACTTCAATAGGTAAGGGGATCACTGAGGACACTAGAACATGGGCAGTTCTGATAGGTAGGAAAATCTACAGGCGGACCAAAGCGGGGAAATCAGCAAAGATACTTTGCAATGGTTGATAATGACCAGGGTTGTGGGTAGAATGACTGTGGTGATGAAATGAAAGGGAAGATGTGACCACTAAGAAAGGAGGAACCAAGAATGTGGTAACTATCTGAATGTATTATAGTTTCATTACTTGCCTGCTTTGAAGAATCTTCGAGAATGTTTTCAACACTGTCTTCTGAAGAGGCTGCATTTGGTGGTTCATATTCCACCTGAAACATCTTTGTTACAATGCCACTCTGTCTGCAGTCTCTGAAAATTATTTTAAAAAGAAAAAGTCTGTGTATTACACAAATATTCCAAAAAAGCCGGATAGCAATTAAGATAACTCTATTGAAGTCCCTTAGTCTAGCTACTAAATTTAGTATATTTTAAATTGAAGAAATCAAAATATAACTTCTATAGTCTTTCTTTACATTATTCTCATTTAGATGATCTATTGCTTTGTAATAAACTGCTCCAAAACATACTGTTTTAAAACAAATCTGTGAGTTAACGAGGCTCAGCTGGATAGCTCTTGTCTGCAATCTCTCATGTGATTGCAGTTAGATATTGGCTGGGCGGGAGTCAACTGAAAGGTCAACTTGGCTGGATGTCCAAAATGATCTCTTCCCTCATACTCACAGCCTAGGCTAGGATTTCAATTCTCATTCTCTCTCCCTCCCTCCCTCCTTCCTTCCCTCCCGCCCTCCTCCCCTCCACCCCCCCTTGGTGGTTAGCTTGGCCTTCCTTACAGTATGGAAGTCAGGCTTCCTACATGGTGGCTGGCTTCACCCAGTGTTTATGTTCCAAGATAACAGAGCAGAAACTGCTACACTTTGTGATCTAGCCTCAGCATCATTTCTGAAACATTCTATTGGTCAAAAGTAAGTCATAGGACCAACCACATTCCAGTGGAGGGGCTACACTGGGAAGCATGGTTAATTTTTGGAGACTATCTACCACATTGACCATAAAGATTTTATACTTCAAGTCTCAAACTATTCTAAAACAAAGAATCAGGTTATCTGTATATCATTCCATGTGACTCAAGGGAATTTTCCTGTAGATAGCATAATATATGTTGCTGTGGTAGATTTAAACTGCTATTCCTCAAATGCTACCATGTTTTCAATTTATTCATAATATTTTACAATTAATCTTGTTCCTCTTTGATGCAAAAGAAGTTCCATAAGAAAGCCATGTAGAGGTGCCCATAACTAAAAACTGATGGTGATTTATTCTGAGCACCAGCAACTCACCTAACACTATTTTTTTAATATATATTTTTATTGATTTCAGAGAGGAAGGCAGAGGGAGAGAGAGACAGAACATCATAATGAGAGAAAATCATTAATCGGCTGCCTCCTAAACGCCCCCTACTGGGGATCAAGCCCACAACCCGAGCATGTGCCCTGATTGGGAACTGTACCAGTGACCTCTTGGTGCATGGGTTCACGCTGGGCTGGACTCCATCTTGACTGAAAAAATCCATCTTAGAGGCCTGACTATGACTCCTTGCTTTCAGTATCAAATTAATCTAACCACATCCTTAAAGAAAAGATTGTAAAAAACATTCTTCCTTAATATCATGTTCTGCAAAATGGTTGTTTTATACAGGACCACTGAGTGGTCCACTGACCATGGAAAACATCTTATGACTACCCAGGATCAACCACCAGATGGCAATCATGGGACAACTGACCTCATCCTCATTCCCAAACCCTGCACCCACCCCTGGCTCCTATATGAGCATTCCACGAGAAACCTCAGGAAGCTCAACTTCTCTTTTCTGGTTGACTCCCCTGTGCACAAGCTCTTTTCAATAAACTCTATCTGCTTGATCCTGTACTGAGTTTAGTGCACATTTCTATGACATTGAGACTCAAGAACCTGGCATTCAAGGTCCAGTAACAAGAAACCATGTGGCCCTAACCGGTTTGGCTCAGTGGATAGAATGTCAGGCTGCAGACTGAAGGGTCCCAGGTTCGAGTCCGGGCAAGGGCATGTACCTTGGTTGCAGGCACATCCCCAGTAGGGAGTGTGCAGGAGGCAGCTGATCGATGTTTCTCTCTCATCGATGTTTCTAACTCTCTATCCCTCTCCCCTCCTCTCTGTAAAAAATCAATAAAATATATTTTTAAAAAAAGAAACCATGTGAAAAAACTCATGCTAGCCTGCTAAAGACACAAGTCAGCCAGCACCAACCACCAGAAATGTGAGTCAAGCTTTCTATCCTGCTCAAAGTGAGCCAAAAAATGACTGCAGCCACCCATGCCAATGACCTCAGGCAAAACCAAGAGAATAACTGCCCTGCTGAATACACACCAAAATGTTGACCCACAAAATGATGAGCAAATAAAATGACTACTCTTTTAAGACACTAAGTTTCAGAGTCGTTTGTTACATAGCAAGAGCTAACTGATTCAGCAGCCAAGGCTGAGAAGCACTGGTTATATAATTTTGGAGATCCTTTTCTTTCTTTATTATTTATTTGTTGATTTTTAAATTTATTACAAAGTAATGGTCTTAAATTTTGGAAGCTACAAAAATTATCAAGAAAAAAACAAGCTCTGGCCAGTGTGGCTCAGTTGGCTGAGGGTCATCCCATGCACCAAAAGGTCACCGGTTCCATCCCTGGTCAGGGCATATACCCAAGTTGCAGATTCCATCCCCAGTTGGGATGGGTACAGGAAGCAACTAACCTATCCCTCTCTCTCTCTTTCCCTCCCTTTTCCCTTCTCTCTACAATCAATAAAAACATATATTTTTTAAAAATATATATTTTATTGATTTTTTACAGAGAAGAAGGGAGAAGGATAGAGAGTTAGAAACATCAATGAGAGAGAAACATCGATCAGCTGCCTCCTGCACACCCCCTACTGGGGATGTGCCTGCAACCAAGGTACATGCCCTTGACCGGAATCGAACCCGGGACCCCTCAGTCCGCAGGCCGACACTCTATCCACTGAGCCAAACCGGTTAGAGCAACATATATTTTTTTAAAAACATACACAATACTATATTATAGAGGCAATGACTGCTGAAGTTGACATGTTTTCTTCTGCTTTTTTCTCTGTATTTTTAAAGTATGAAAATAATACAGTTTTTATCCTAATTTTTTCACTTATATCATAAATATTTTCCTGTATCATTCAAAACTTCATGACCACAATTTTAATATGTTAATGGCCTTTAATACTTAACAGTCTCATTTAAAGTCCTTTGTCTCTCTCTTTTTTTTTTTCCTCACCGGAGGATATTTTCCCATTGATTTTTAGAGAGAGTGGAAGAGAGAGGGAAAGACAGAGAGAAATATCGATGTGAGAGAAACATCAATTGGTTGCCTCCTGCACGAGCTCCGACCAGGGCCCGGGCCAGGGAGGAGCCTGCAAACCAGGTACGTGCCCTTGACCGGGATGGAACCCAAGACCCTTCGGTCCACAGGCCGACACTCTATCCACTGAGCCAAACCATCGAGGGCTAATGTCCTTTATCTCTTTATTAAGAAACTAATTATCTTAAGTACCTAGAAACAGACTTGAATGAAGCAGTGTAATTTCCAGAAAGAACTATTTTATCGCAAATGTATACAAGCACTAATTTTTCTTTTGTGTAGAAAACTCAAATTATTTTTTATATAAATATTTTCTCTAAACTGAACACACCTGAAATACTAACACTGCTTTCAGAATAAACAATTAGCAGGCACAGAGCAAGATGGTAGAAGCATAAAGAAACACTTTATTTTTTAGACTCTTTAGAAGCTCTATTAATTCCTCCAAACTACATATTTGCCATTATATTAATACTTCATTTCACTACTACCTGCAGCTTCCAAAGGAGCCTGTCTTTTTTTTTTTTTTTAATATATTTTATTGATTTTTTACAGAGAGGAAGGGAGAGGGATAGAGAGTTAGAAACATCGATGAGAGAGAAACATCAATCAGCTGCCTCCTGCACACTCCCCACTGGGTATGAGCCCACAACCCAGGCATGTGCCCTTGACTGGAATCGAACCTGGGACCCTTGAGTCCGCAGGCCGACCCTCTATCCACTGAGCCAAACTGGCCAGGGCTAGCTTCTTAATTTTTAAAGATAATTAAGAACACTTGTTTTGATAGAAGTGGGTTGACAAGTAGGAAAAAGCTACAAATGTCAATATTTAATAAAGAAGAATAATGTGTATTAGGGGTTTGTTTGATTTAATTTTTATTTTATTCCTTTTAAAAATTATCAAATTCCAAAACAATCTTTGGTGTAGAATTTGTAACTCTCCTCAGAAAGCCATGCAGTAGTTCAGCCACCAGAGGGAGCATGGATAATCTTTTTTAAAGCAGTACCTGGGCCAGCCAGTTGTTGATTTGGGGCCTAATAGTGTTCCAAAGATGTGGTCAAACCTGTCTTGCTGCACAAAATACTTCCCCTATCACAGACTTGCAAAGCAATTGAGTTTTTCTCTACAACACAAGGTTTCCAAATTAAGATGTGTTTCCATATTGGTAAAGTGATAAAAGTCATTGAATAGGAAAGAAAGGAATAAAGTAGCTAATATCCACAAATGGAAGAGACAGTAGCTTTCAAGGCCAATTAAATCAATACAACATAAAACAGAATGATCATGGTGGTTGTAGGCTATGTCCCGGGGAATAAAAGAAATATCCACTAAAAGCAGTATTTTCTCTAGAGCCTGATGAATCTCTTCAGAGGTCCCAAACCCTGAAAAGGTTCCTGAAATTCCAATATAGAATCAAAATAAAAACAGAATATTATTAATATACATAGCACTTCATTAAGCTGTACTCTTATGATTTCTGCACTTTACAGTATACCTCAGCAGAAGACAAAAACCAAAAGTTACAGATATATGCTGAAATTAAAATAATTTTTCTTTTATGCCTTTCTAGTCCAGCACTAATTCCCACTGAAAGAAAGAAATAAAATTAAAACATCATTATATTATAAAGTTATTTTAATCACCAGGCTCTTAACTTACTTAGAGACTGCAATAGCTTTAACTTGTATTTTTCCATCAGGCAGAGTAATAGGCTTTGTATACTTAAATGTAGTATTTTCACCATAACCAATTCTCTTTAGAAATTCAGGCTTACTGCCATCCAAGGTATAATATATGCTGACATCTGGGGTATCTGAAAAACCCAAAACAGGATAACTGCGATTAGCATTAAAGTACCAAGTCCCTGAATAATGCCAATGGGTCCGTTATTTAATGAGATTTTTAAATATATTGTACAAATGAATACCAATAACAATTGGTTCCTTCTCTATGCTAAGCACTGTGCCTTACATGAATAAGCTCATTTCATCTGTACAATCCCATTAGATAGGCCCTATTTTATGCCCACTTTATAGTTGAGAAAACTTGAGTCCCAGAGAGGTTAACAGCAGAGTTGTGATTTGACTCTTGGTAAGTTGAATCCATAGCCCACACTCTTGAACCACTATGCTATTCTGCATTTCCAAAAGGGCATTAATTCAAATAGAGTAGGGGTCTATTTTAAAACTAGAACAGCCATTTAGAAAGCAGAAGCTATTTTTTCATTATTATTATTTTTTTTTAGTATTGCTTAAGAAATGCTTTTATACTTGGACTTGGTAAATGATTCATTCCTACAATCTTGGAAAATTTATAAAGGTAATAAATTAATATAAATCTATATTCAAAATGTCAAAAAATGATAGACAATTAAAGCTCTCCTTCCCACTCCCAATATCAGCTGCCCCAGGCAATCAATGGGATCTTGACTATCCTTTCAAAAATATTGTATATCAATACAAGCATAAATGTATGTGTTCTTATTTCACTTACTCTTTTATACAAAGGTGGTATATCGTACCCTGTTCCACACCTTTCTTTTTTTCATTTAACAATATATCTTGTATATTGTTCTATACTGGTACATAAAGAGTGACCTCAGTCTTTGTTATGGCTGTGTTGTATTCTCTCTTTATAGAGATGAACCACAATTTAACCAATCCCCTATAGATGGACATATGAATGTTTTCTTTTTCTTTATTTTGCCATTACAAACACTGTAATGAATAACGTTGAAAACTCTTCTTTTTATAAGTATATTTGTAAAATATGTAGAACTAGCACTGTTGAGTCAAAAGGTAAGTGCATTTGTAATTTTGGTTAATATTGCCAAACTTCCCCCCATAGAAGCTGAAACAACTTGCACTGCTACCAGCAATTCATCAAAGTGCCTGCTTACCCACACACCCATATCGTGTGCTATCAATTATTTTATTTTTACTAATCTGTTAGGTAAAAGTAAAAAAGTATCTTATTGTTTTAACTCACATTTCTTACATTTTGAGTAAGATTCATTCGTTCCTTCAACAAATACTTACCAAGTACCTATTATGTAGCAGACACTGTTCTAGACACTTGAGGATACCCCAGTCACCAAAGTCCCTGCTCTCATGGAGCTTCCATTTTAGGAAGGACACACAGACAGTAACAAACAAAAATGATATACAATCTGTTCAGTGGTAATTAGATGCAACGGAGTAATAAAGCAGGGGATAAGGTCTGCTCAGCAAGCAGGTGAAGAGGTAGGTAGAAGCATATTCTCACATGAGACACTTATATTTCCTCTCCTATAGAATGTCCTTTCACATCCTTGTTCATTTTTTATTGGGTTATTATTATTCTTTTTGTTACTGAATTATAGAACCTTTTATTTTTATTTTTTTTAATATATTTTATTGATTTTTTGCAGAGAGGAAGGGAGAGAGATAGAGAGTTAGAAACATCGATGAGAGAGAAACATCGATCAGCTGCCTCCTGCACATCTCCCACTGGGGATGTGCCCGCAACCAAGGTACATGCCCTTGACCGGAATCGAACCCGGGACCCTTCAGTCTGCAGGCCGACGCTCTATCCACTGAGCCAAACCGGTTTTGGCAGAACCTTTTATTTTTGAGACATTTTTAACGTTAGAGAATTTGGATACCCTATTATTCATATTGTCATTTGTCAATAAACATTCAATTTCTATGAGTCATGGGCACATATATTAAAATTTGTATTTTGCTTTGAAAATTTAAAAAATAATATTAGCTTTTAAGATAAAGGGAGACAGTATAATGTAATATATTCTTAGTTGGAACTCTTGGTCTAGGAAGCACAGGGTCATAACATAAAAACAGAAATAATTTTTACACAAAACACTTAATAAAGTACATTGGAATCTCAGTCTGTTTTAAACAAGTATTTGTTCATATGCTTTATGTATAAAACTTTCCCTCTTCCTTATAGTATACATATGTATATGTAAATATGTATGTGTGTATATATGTGTATATATACATATACTCACTTTTGGCATTAGTAGGAAATATTTTTTGTTATAATAGCTAAGATTTATTTTTGTAATAATAATTACAAAATATTTTTTGTAATAATAGCTCATTTTATTTTTGTAATAACAGCTAAGATTTATTTTGGCATTATTACATGCCAGACCCTGCATACCTCACATCAACTCATTTAATCCTCACAATGGCTTTAAATAGATATTATTATCACTATCTTACAATGAGGAAACTGAGACTCAGAAAGGCTAATTAATATACCAAAAATTACTAGAGGTTGTCAAAGCCAGGATTCAAGCTCCAACATGAGTGGAGAGCCTGTGTTAGTATATCAAATTTATTATCCCAGCAAAATAATGAGCATCCTGGGAACATTTGGGGAAGCACTGGGACATCTTACCTTGGCCAAAGTGAGTCAAGGCATTGCTGCAATTAAGTACCTATACAAATGAAAGGGTAGTCAAAGCTAACCGTTTCAATCTAAATATACACCACTCTATAAACCATCAAGTATAAGTGTTGCAAATTTTGGAAGTTTTATAAACTTCTCAAGGTCCTGGTTATAGAAAACATACAAAGAAGAAAATCAACAACCAGATGAACATAAAGAGTATGACCATGTTATTTTAAAGCATTTCAAGTATGTTTTATTTTTACCTGATTTCATTTCCACAAGTGTATTGTTATCAATTTCATGGTTGGCTTTTCCAGGCTGAGGCACTCGCAGTGGTATGATCTGAGGAACACACACTGAACCAGCAGTCATTTTCCCTGCTTACATTTTTAAAAAAGTAGATGAAAATAAATTCCAATGGCCACATATATTTGAACACACATACTGAAGAGAAGTACCTCATTAAAATACAGTAAAGCTGTAAAAACTAAAGAGAATACTATTACTATATCATCTAAAAATATTATTCAACTTTTATTTGAAATAATTATTGCTTCAGCTATATTTTTGCTATTGAGGTCTTCTGTGGAGTTTTGATTATCAGGTAAGTAAATTATTACCTTACTCCTGGGAAAAGAGCATGAATGAATGAGATGTTGGAAAGGAATTACTTTTTTAAATATATTTTTTAATTGATTTCAGAGAGGAAGAGAGAGGGAGAGAGATAGAGACCTCAATGATGAGAGAGAATCATTGATTGGCACACTCCGCACTGGGGATCGAGCCTGCAACCCGGGCATGTGCCCTGACCAGGAATCGAACTGTGACCTCCTGGTTCATAAGTCGATGTGCAACCACTGAGCCACACCGGCTGGGCAAAGGGAATTATTTTAAACTAGAGGCCCGGTGATGGATTCGTGCACTGGTGGGGTCACTCAGCCTGGCCTGCGGGGATCAGGTCGAAACTGGCAGTTTGACATCCCCCGAGGGGGTCCCAGAGTGCGAGAGGGCACTTTGCAAAGTTGCTGTTGCTCAGCAGCTCCTGTGTTGAGCGTCTGCCCCCTGGTGGTCAGTGCACATCATAGCTACCAGCAGGTCGGCCGGTCAGCCAGTTGGCCAGTCGCTTAGGCTTTTATATATATAGATGAGCGAATTAAATGAACGCATCAGAACAGAGACCATGACTAATAATCTGGTCTGAGCTTCCTCTGAATCATTATCAGCCTTTCCTGCCTTTTATTCCTGTGCTACCTCTCTTGGCTTCAGGGCAAGTCATCATGCCAGAGAAACAGAAGTAACTTTATATGCAGCATGAAATGTTAATTTAGAGCCAGCTCTTTTGGGAAAGCTCCAGGTTCCAGGCCCTGCAGTTGTCACCAAGTAATTCTTGCATTTGAAAGCTGCAAAGAAACTTTAGAAGGATGACAGAGTATCAAACCTCAGCTGAAAGAAAGATGGCACCAATATAAAAAGTAAGCAACAAATACAAAAGTCTCCCACTCCATCTACTATATTTATAAATAATTATGTATGAGTGTGGAGGCCTTACTGACCTTTTCCCTGGACAGTGTCATAATTTTTAATATGCGAAGGATTCAGGAGGAAAAAACAACCGACACCTTAATATAGCAACCATTTCTCATCACTTTTCACCCTATTCAAATTCCAATGATTATGGATAGATTTCACTCAACATATTCATTCCATTTTTAGTGTTTACTTATTGCACCATCACTCTATTATTTACAATTTTCCACATACTTATATAATCTTATTTATCAATTTGTGGGTGGGTTTTAAGGATATTACTAGTTTCGGTGGTTGCAATTCTAAGTAATGCTGCTCTGAATATCTTGAGGTTTTAGTTTTGTCACAGACAGTATTCCCAAAAATGAGATAAACAAAGGGAGGAGTGAACTTAATGCCTGGTTACCATAGTTCCAGGATAGAGGTCAAGAATTTGAACTGCAAATACTGACAGATCACTAGCCCCTCGGAAAGGATGGCTGGCCTTGGGACACTTGCTCAAACTCACATTTCCATTTATGTGAGAGGCAGTTAAAATAAAAATAGTTGAGCCCTGCTGATGTGGCTCAGTGGTTGAGCGTCACCTGATGGATTCCTGGTTAGGGCATATGCCCTGGTTGCGCGCTCTATCCCCAGTAGGGGGCGTGCAGGAGGCAGCTGATCGATGTTTCTCTGTCGTCATCCATTTCTTTCTATCTCTCTCCCTCTCTCTCTAAAAATCAATAAAAACATATAAAGAAATAATATAAAATAAAAATACTTGAAAAATTACTTCAAAATAAAAATAGTTGTGGAGGGAGTAATTCGTGCGCAGTAACTAGGAGCTGCCTTTGGAAGGCCGGGGTGGCGAGTGGGCTCCAAGAAAGGGATCAAGAAGTAGACCAAATCCAACAGGCCCAAATGGCATTGTGGGGAAAACAGCACCCTAAACCCCCAACTCCATCCACCCACTCTCCGCCGCTCAGATCTGGAACCCCGACTGGTCCCGGGCCCCGCCCATCGGGGGCCGTCAGAGACTCTCTCTTCCTTACCGCAGGATTGAGGGAGGTCCTCCTCCTCCTCTCCGCAGGATTGAGGGAGGTCCTCCTCTTCTCCGCAGGATTGAGGGAGGTCCTCCCCCACCTCCTTGTCCTCCTCCTCCTCCACCTCTTCCTCTATCCGCGGCCACCAAGACAGAATTAGCCCCTCCGAGGTACCTCCGCCGTCCCCGGCCGGGCGCTCCACCTCTCACTGCGGGGGTACCTCCGCCGTCCGCAGGAGCTAGCCCACCTCTCACTGCCTCCTGCCTTCTCCTTGGTCAAGGTCTCGGTTACCACTGACGCTGCGAGCCTCGCCCCGCCTACTGAGAACCGAGCAGGCGATTGGCGGAAAAATGGCTTCCTAGCAACCAGCTCCACCCGTGACGTTTGACTGGGAGAGTGGTACCCGCAGGAACCGTAGGCGTCCGAGAACACGCCTTCTCAGAGGTTGGAAAATGCTAAAAAGTGGTGTCTCAACGCAGAATGAGGAAAGGAAGCTCGTTCGCCCGACAGGCATTGACATTCTGGAAGCAAGAATAAGAGGATGTAGGGGGAAAATGGTTAAAAAAAAAAAAAAGAATAAGAGGATGTAGCGGCGCCCGTGAGTGAGGCGGAGCAGGCGCGGAGTGGCCACCTCAAGCCAACAGACAAGGAAGGACCGGCTGCGACACGAGGAAGAAGGCCCATCGCCCGGGCATCGCTGGTTGCCAGGCCGCTACGCGCTTCTCACCCCGCTGGTGTAGGAACCGCGTCCTCATGGCTGAGGTGAAGGTGAAGCTGCAGCCGCCCGACGCGGATCCAGTAGAAATAGAAAACAGGTAAGTCAGTGGGTGAGGCTCGGTCCCCGGCGGGTCATTTGGGCAGCCGGATCCTTTCTCCGCGGACCGTCGGGAGATACCGGACAAGTTCAGTGAGCACGCAGGGAGTGGGTTGCCGGGTTTGGATCCCCTTCCCACCCCCGGAGAACAAAACTCTTAAAAAATTCCAAAGGAGTTCGACAGTTTGCAACTTTGTGTAGCTGTCCCGATGCTGCTGGGGAAGTTGTGATGATGCACTACCTCCCTGTGTGAAAGTGATCGACGCTCAGAAAGGAGATGGCGTTTTTACCTGCAGTGGTTCTCAACTTTCTGGCCCTTTAAAAACAGTTCCTCATGTTGTGACCCAACCATAAAATTATTTTCGTTGCTACTTCGTAACTGTAATGTTGCTACTGTTATGAATCGTAATGTAAATATCTGATATGCAGGATGGACTCAGGCGACCCCTGTGAAAGGGTCCTTCGACCGCCAAAGGGGTCGCGACCCACAGGTTGAGAACCGCTGAAAAGGCTTTAGGATGCATGTTCTGATCCAAAGTGGCTCTTGTCGCTGTGGGAACTCCCACGACTGGACGTTTGGGCGAAATTAGGGTGCAGTTTGTGATTACAAAGCTACATTAAACCACAAGTGGTTTCGGTGCGGAATTTAAGTCAAGATTATTGTGGGGCACCTAAAGCCTCTCAATTTTGTAATTCCCTAGCAGCGCACTACTATTGTTAGATTGCCACATGGTTTTTAAAGAACCCAATTTTTTCAAGCTATTATGAATAACATACGAGGATCCCATGACAGTGTGAATATTTGGGCTTATTTCTGTTGGGTAGGGATAATTCCCAAAACGCCCCAGTTGTGGTGAATTGTCATAAATGTTGGCTTCCCACCAGAAATACCTGATTTGCGTCCTGCTTGCAGACTTATGGCTGCCCAATACACTGTATCCTAACTTTGTGTACTTGCATCTGAGAAAATTGAAGTTGCAGCATTGATATTTTTTTCTGTGTTTTCATTTGACTTTTGTTCTAGTTTAGAATTCATATTAGTGAGAAAAAAAGTTTTCTTTAAATAATAATGCAAACATGTATTTTGAAAGCTTTGATTCAGACCTATCATAGAAACCCAGACTGTCTGCTAAATGTGAAGACACCACAATTTCAATTTTTTCTGCGGCTGAGGTGAAAGTGAAGCTGCAGCCACCTGACGTGGATCCAGTAGAAATAGAAAACAGGATTATAGAATTATGTCACCAGTTCCCTCATGGAATCACAGACCAAGTAATTCAAAATGAAATGCCTCATATAGAAGCTCAGCAGCGGGCAGTGGCAATCAATAGACTGTTGTCTATGGTAAGGTGAATCCAACTAGTTAATGTAATTACATTTTTAAGTTAACATTGTCATTGCTTCCTATTATTAGTCATGAAAACATTGGAAGAGCCTGGCCGGTATTGATGCTCAGTAGTTGAGCATCAACCTATGAACCAGGAGGTCACGGTTCGATTCCCAGTCGGGGCACATGTCCGGGTTGTGGGCTCAATCTCCAGTGTGGGGCATGCAGGAGGCAGCCAGTGGATGAGTCTCCCACATCATTGATGTTTCTATCTCTCTTTCTCTCCCTTCCTCTCTGAAATCAATAAATGTAAAAAATAAAAGCACTGTTATTTAAAAAAAAACACACACACATTGGAAGGTGTGTTAGGTTGTGACTGATAAGATTCTAAACCAGGAAACAGCTCAGACTGCTTTATTTGTTAACCTAATTGCCATTAAGATACATACAGGCGCATAGGCATAGTTTCTTCTGACCTTCTGTTTGCTTCCTACTCCTGGTGTTGGCCATTCCCTGTGAAACACATCCCCCTGATTTTTCTGTGAGTCATCACAGAGCCAACTCATTAACGTATCACTCTCCACAATCTCACCCTGAGCATTTCAAGAGGCAGGAATGAGTCCAGATAAATGTCACCAGTGCTGGGTCCCTGGGAGGAAGTGCAGCCTCAGCTCCCAATGACAGCAGTGGGGGTTTTTTTCAGTGAAGCCCTTCTACCTATTCTTACCTTTTCTGATTTCCTGGAGCCCTAATGTCATTCTCTACTGTCCTAGTGATACCCCCTGTTCTAAATCTACCTGTTTCTCCTTCCTTTCCCCTATCATCAAAATTCCCATGTCCTGAGAGCATTTCAGTTGGTCTTAATAGCAATTAGGTAAAATATTTCTATACTAAGTAATCATCTGAAGGCTGGTTTGCTTTATTTTAATTATTATTACTGATTTTTTTTTAGAGGGAGGAAGGGAGAAAGAGAGAGAGAGAAACATCAATTTGTTGTTCCACTTACTGATGCATTCATTGGTTGTTTCTTGTACGTATGTGGTTTATCAGGACGACACTCTAACTAACTGAGCTACCTGGCCAGGGCTAAGGCTGATTTGCTTTTTTAAATCTACCAGCTTTGTTGGATTTCTAAGGGCTCTGGATATGGAGGTTTGAGGACAAGTAAAGTTTCTGTTAAAATGTTCCCTTCAGCCCTAACTGGTTTGGCTCAGTGAATAGAGCATCGGCCTGCGGACTGAAGGGTCCCAGGTTCAATTCCAGTCAAGGGCATGTACCTTGGTTGCGGGCACATCCCCAGTGGGGGGTGTGCAGGAGGCAGCTGATCAATGTTTCTCTCTCATTGATGTTTCTAACTCTCTATACCTCTCCCTTCCTCTCTGTAAAAAATCAATAAAAATATATTTTTTTAAAAATGTTCCCTTCAACCTACTAGTTCAGGGTTTGGCAAACTTTTTGTATAAAGGGCCTGATAGTATATGTTTTAGGCTTTGCAGGCCATTTGGTTTCTGTTATAATAGATAACTCTTCAAGAAAGTAGCTATGGCCCTGACCGGTTTGGCTCAGTGGATAGAGCGTCGGCCTGAGGACTCAAGGGTCCCAGGTTCGATTCCAGTCAAGGGCATGTGCCTTGGTTGCGGGTACATCCTTGGTGGGGAGTGTGCAGGAGGCAGCTGATCGATGTTTCTCTCATCGATGTTTCTAACTTTCTATCCCTCTCCCTTCCTCTATGTAGAAAATCAATAAAATATATTTTTTTAAAAAAAGAAAGAAAGAAAAAAGTAGCTATGGTCCACACATAAACAAATGGGCGTGGCTGTGTCCCAATAAAACTTTATTTATAAAAACAAGCAGTGAGCCAGATTGCTGGCCCTTGTTTTAGCACCAGGGAAAAAAGGACTCTTGATGATTTCTAGTCATTTAATTATGATGAAGGTCTTCAGCTCCAGGAAAGATAGAGGAAGGGATGCTGGGAAGTTGTGGCAATAGAAAATGTTTTTGTCCTTTGACCACTCTTTCAACCCTTTCCTTTCTATCTGAAAATCATCCTCAGTACCTCCCTCTCTTTCACTATCTCTGTGACTGACCCCACCTACTGCCAGTCCTGTTGGCTATAGGCTCTAGGCAGTGGTGCAGCTATTGAAGAATTTTAAGCAGGAGTAATTATCAATAAATCACAAGTTATTACTGATTTTGCCTCGTAAATAAATATCAAATTTGTCCCCCTATTTCCATTCCTACTATCTCTGCATGTGTTCTGGCTCTTGGCTTTTACCTGGACTATTACAGTGCATCCTAACTGGCTCTCCTGGCTCCATCTGCCTCAGAGCACAGTCTGATTTGTCTCAAATATAGATCTGACCAAGTCACTTCCCCACCAGAAATACTTCTTCCAGTGCGAGAAATTTAAGTCAAAACTCATGGGTTGACCACAGTGAGTCTCTGCCTCCCTTACCTATCTCCTCTTTTGCCATCGTGTGTCTCAAAAGTTAGGTTTCAGAGGGACCACATCATGCTGTTGCATGTCTCAGGTCCTTTGCTCATGCTGTCTTCCCTGCTTAGAAGGCCTTTCTTCCCTTTCTTCACAGACTAACCCCTCATTATCCTCTAAGACTCAGCTCTGCTGTTGTCTCCAGGAAGCCTCCCTGAATCCCACAGTGGGCCATAGCTTCTTCTCTGAGAGCCCATCCCACCCATTACTTACTTCTATCTTAACGCCAGCCAGATGGTAGTGAAGTTAGGTGTATGATTCGCTTTTAGAATTCATGTTCGTACCCACAAACAACAATCATAGTACTGGTTCATTAAATGTTCATAGATTGAGTTAAATGACTGAATGGAACCTCTAAATTGAGCTTTGTGGTTCAGTTTTGCCACTTAGTGGGGTCTGGGGAGGGAGGGTATTACTGTTCAGCCATATGTAAACCCATTTCCAAATCATGGGTCTGCCCAGTCTTAACATGAGAATGGGGCCTCTCTTAGCCACGTCTTCCCCGAACTGCCAGAAGCCCAGTGGTACAGCCATCGGGGTGCTCCTAAGTTCAGACCCAAGGAAATTTAGAAGTATGTTAAGACATCCTTTATTTTACTTTTCACGTGTTACAGAAAAACAAAACTGCGGGTCTTTTATTCATTGGTTAACTCTTCTGCCTAATTTTCATGTAACAAATAGAAATCACACATATCAGTAAATGTCACTATTAACTTTGTAAAGTTTAATCATTGTGTTAAAAAATGTTTTTACATGTTAGTTTCTATTTGAACTTTATATTATGTAAATTATATTTTATTTGTATTATACTTATTTATATTTATTGAATTTGTTTTAGTTTGAATCACAATTTATTGAGGACAAGTGAACTTTCTGTTAAAATGTTCTAAAGATGCGCCCTGACCGGTTTGGCTCAGTGGATAGAGCGTCGGCCTGCGGACTCAGGGGTCCCGGGTTCGATTCCGGTCAGGGGCATGTGCCTTGGTTGCGGGCACATCCCCGGTGGGGAGTGTGCAGGAGGCAGCTGGTCGATGTTTCTCTCTCATCGATGTTTCTGGCTCTCTTTCCCTCTCCCTTCCTCTCTGTGAAAAATCAATAAAATATATTTTTTTAAAAATGTTCTAAAGATGCTTGTTTATAATTCTTTACACGTTGATTATATAACCAAGCCAGGATCTAGCATATAAGTAATTGTTAGATATTAATATTTTAGAAAATGATGAGATAAAGAGCTAAATTTAAAAAATGCACTGTATGTGATAGGGAAAAACTTAAATCTCAAGTTAAGAACTGACAAATAACTATGGGAGGTAGGACATTTAGTCTGTGTAAAATATTAAAGAATGCATTAGCATTTGTCATTAGATTTGATGTATCTCCAAAGTAATTCAGTGCTATTTCCTATCTTTAAAAATTTTAGGGTCAGTTGGATCTCTTAAGGAGCAATACAGGCCTTCTGTATAGAATAAAGGATTCTCAGAATGCTGGGTAAGCACATAATCATATCATTTTAAGAAAACTTTGATTATTACCAAAGTAATACATGTTTTTGGAAGAAAGCCAATACAGAATTGCATAATGTAAACCTCTTGCATATCATCCCTGCCTCCTATCGTGAGTTCCATTTCCCGGAAATAACTGCTTATAGTAATTTGGTAAATATTTTTTCTTCTAGATATATAAATACATATAGATGATTATATATTTATATATAATCTCTCTTTTTTTCTTTTTTTAACAAAAATGGGATCATTCTATTCATACTGTCTTGCAACTTGTTTTTTTCACTTACTCTGTCTTGGACATCTTTTCATTATGGTACATACAGCCCTGTCTCATTCTTTTTAAGGTAAGTCTTTATTTTGGTAAATAAGTCAATGTGATGGCCTTGTCTGCTAATTCATTGAAGTAGTCATGTAGATTATTAGATTATCCTGTACCTCTTTGCCTTCTTAATTCTACTTTATTCCCCTGCAGTAAAATGAAGGGATCAGATAACCAAGAAAAACTAGTATATCAGATCATAGAGGATGCAGGAAATAAAGGTAAGCATGTGAAGGAAGAAGGAGAAAAAACATTGACTTTGGACCAGATATAGGGACTGAGATTCTATCTTCCCGGGGAATGGATCAGTGTCTGTGCTGCTACTTATGTAAAAAGGAGAGGAAAATAA